CAAGCTGGTTGCATAGGTACATACATGGCAATGTGGTTTGCTGCCTTCCTCTCCATCACCTATATCTGGCATTTCTCCCCATGTTATCCCTCCCCAACTCCCCACCCCCTGCTTTTCCTCCCCTAGTTCCCCCCCACAGACCCCAGTGTGTGATGCTCCCCTCCCTGTGTCCATGTGTTCTCATTGTTCAACACCTGCCTATGAGTGAGAACATGCAGTGTTTGATTTTCTGTTTGCTGAGAATGATGGTTTCCAGGTTCATCCATGTCCCTACAAAGGACACGAACTCATCGTTTTTTTATGGCTGCACAGTATTCCATGGTGTATATGTGCCACATTTTCCCTGTCCAGTCTATCATTGATGGGCATTTGGGTTGGTTCCAAGTCTTTGCTATTGTAAACAGTGCTACAATAAACATTCGTGTGCATGTGTCCTTATAATAGAACTATTTATAGTCCTTTGGATATATACCCAGTAATGGGATTGCTGGGTCAAATGGAATTTCTATTTCTAGGTCCTTGAAGAATAGCCACACTGTTTTCCACAATGGTTGAACTAATTTACACTCCCACCAACAGTGTAAAAGTGTTCCTATTTCTCCACATCCTCTCCAGCATCTGTTGTCTCCAGATTTTCTAATGATCGCCACTCTAACTTGCGTGAGATGGTATCTCAATGTAGTTTTGATTTGCATTTCTCTAATGACCAGTGATGATGGGCATTTTTTCATGTTTGTTGGCTTTGTATATGTCTTCTTTTGAAAAGTGTCTGTTCATATCCTTTGCCCACTTTTGAATGGGTTTGTTTCTTTTTTTCTTGTAAATCTGTTTTAGTTCTTTGTGGATTCTGGATATAAGTACTTTGTCAGATGGGTAGATTGCAAAAATGTTTTCCCATTCTGTTGGTTGCCAGTCCACTCTAATGATTGTTTCTTTTGCTATGCAGAAGCTCTGGAGTTTAATTAGATACCATTTGTCCATTTTGGCTTTTGTTGCCAACGAGTTAATTTTAGTGTAATGTGTCAAGAAGGCGACCAGTTTCTGCTTTCTGCACATAGCTAGTCAGTTTTCCCAACACCATTTATTAAACAGGGAATCCTTTCCCCATTGCTTGTTGTTGTCAGGTTTGTCAAAGATCAGATGGTTGTAGATGTGCGGTGTTGCCTCCGAGGCCTCTGTTCTGTTCCTTTGGTCTGTTTCTGTTTTGGTACCAGTATCATGCTGTTTTGATTACTGTAGCCTTGTAGTATAGTTTGAAGTCAGGTAGTGTGATGCCTCCAGCTTTGTTCTTTTTGCTTAGAATTGACTTGGCTCTGTAGGCTCTCTTTTGGTTCCATATGAAGTTTAATGTATTTTTTTCTAGTTCTGTGAAAAAGGTCACTGGTAGCTTGATGGGGATAGTGTTGAATCTGTAAATTACTTTGGGCGGTATGGCCATTTTCACAATATTGATTCTTCCTAACAATGAGCATGGAATGTTTCTCCATCTGTTTGTGTCCTCTCTTATTTCGTTGAGCAGTGGAAAGCCAATTAACATTTCAACTGTAGGCCGGGAGTGATAGCTCACACCTGTAATCCCAGCAGTTTGGGAGGCTGAGGTGGGTGATCACCTGAGGTCAGGATTTAGAGACCAACCTGACCAACATGGTGAAACCCTGTCTCCACTAAAAATACAAAAATTAGCCAGGCGTGGTGGCAGGCACCTGTAATCCCAGCTACTCAGGAGGCTGAGGCAGAAGAATTCTTTGAACTTAGGAGGCGGAGGTTACAGTGAGCGAAGATCGCGCCACTGCACTCCAGCCTGGGCAATGGAGTGAGACTCTGTCTCAAAAAAAAAAAAAACAATTTTTTGAACTGTAAATTCACCTTTGCAAAAGTTAATAACAGCACTTTGTAAACATTTGTAAAACATCAACATAAAAATTAGCAAAACTATAGGCATACAATTCAAAGAAGAAATGCGAATAGCCAATAAATTTACGAAAACGTTCATTTAGGTTAATGTTTCTGAATAATGTTCAGCAGCCTAAATGGCCTGTGAGAAAGGAAACCAGAATAACTTCCAAAAAAAACAAAGGCAGCAAGAGCTTCCTTACAGCAATAAGAAAACA